AGTAATTTCTAAATCTGAGGCCTTTAATCTAGGCTGGTATGGAAATGGGGAAGGGGAAGTGGGGTTGAGTAATACTGATCAGGAGAAGGAGACAATCTTTCATATAATTTTCTTTCTACAAAGCAAACCTTATTTCACCATTTCAGACTAATTTCTTTCTCATTAGATTGAAACATTAACATCTGTTTTTTAAATTGTTCAGAAGACAGAGCTGACATAGAGTATAGTAGCAACTTCCTAAGCACAAGATCCCTCAAACAGAATGTTATTATATTTTTGAAATGCATATTCTACCTGCATCCAAATATACTTCTATCTAATTCTCTACAGTAAATGGTAAACAGGGAGACTCTGGAGGTTTTCTCACTTTTCGAGTATTGCTTTTGCAGGTAGCTGTAAGTCTGACAAAGAAATGAGTAGATACACAGCCCATTTTAAAATGAATTAGAAAAATAAAAATTGAACAGAATTTGAATGAGTTTCTGACTCTAAGAATTTCTGAGTACGTTGTATATGAGTCATCAGAGCAATATATCAAGGTCTGTGTTGATAATGTCTAAATTAGATTTATCTCTGTATTTTGAAGTAGACAGCACATTTGAAAAGACCTAAATAAATAGTGTCACATTTTTTCAATCATTGTCAAATATTTACAGACTGTGTGCCAGGCTCTGTTCTAGGAACATGGAATGCATCCATGAATAAAGCAAAAATCCTGCCCTTTTGGAGCTCATATTATAGAGAAGAGAACAATGGTGAAAGATAAAATAAACAATGGATAAAAAAAGTAAAGTATAAAGTATGTTATAAAATGAGAAGCACCATGGGAAGACCCAAAATTACTACAGAATAAGGGGGATACATCATGTCTAGGTAGAGAATAGGTGTTACTATTGAAATTTTAAAATAAGGTGATCAGCATATGCCTCTTTGAAAAAGTGATATTTGAATAGAAATTTTAAGGAAGTACAAGTGCTAACACAGATATCTGAGGCAATCATGACCCAGGTGGAGAGAACAGCCAGGGGCAAGGCCCATTTTTAAACTTGATTGTTTGTTCTGTTGTGGTGGGTTTTTTTGGTGTTGAGTTTTATATTTGCATTATAAATTTTGGATATTAAGTCCTTATCAAGTGTGTCAGCAAATATATTTTTCCATTCAGTGGGTTGTCTTTTCATTTTGTTGATGGTTTCCTTTGCAATGCAAAAACTTTTTGGTTTGATATAGTCCCATTTGTTTATTTTTCCTTTTGTTTCCCTTGTCCATTTTGATGGTCACACAGAGCTAAAGTGATAAAAGTAGAAATCTAGAAGGCCTCAAACTCTTGACTGAAACCTCTCAATACTATTGGTGAATTTTGAATTTGCAAAAACCACAAAACTAAAACCTAAGATGGAAACCTTAAATAGAGCTGGTTTTCCTGCAGTCTCCCAATGCTATAAAAAGGAAGACACATCAGGCTATCAGTTTAAACTCTAGAGAAGCTATGTCCTAGCTATAAGGTAACAGCAAAGATGGACCAGGTTTAGCCAAAACTATAACTCAGCTCAGTCTCTTATGAGATTTAGGTATAATTCTCTCACACTATCTGTGTAGGAAAAGAAAGAATGAAATCTCTAGTAGAAATCAGCATAATCTGAAAACTCTCCACCTTTATTACACAATATTTGGAATTCAATTAAAAAAATCATTAGACATACCAATAGGAAGAACCATATGACCTAAAACCAATACTTAAGAACAAAAAGCCCAAATATGGAAATGGACCAACAGATGATCCAGATATAGATAAGGATTTTTAAAAACTATGATTAATATGTTCAATTAAAAAGAAAGGATTAATAAAATAAATAAAGATAAAGAATTTCAACAGAAAATTATAATTTATAAAGAAGGATAAATTGGAAATTACTTATGGAAAAGTACAATATCCAAAGAATTCAATCAATTTAAGAAGAAGACAAGATTAGGGAACTTAAAAATGGGCAAAGAAAATAGCAAAAATGAAGTAGAGTCAGACAAATATACAGAAAACAGTAAGAAAAATGTGAGATGCAGTAAAATAAAGTGTAATATGCAAGTCTGCAGAAGAAAAAGGAAGAGAAGGGAGCAAAGGCAGCAATTAAATAGCTAAGGCCAACCATTTTAAAAACTGGTGAAACATCAATTCAAAGATTCAAGAAGTTGGTAAACACCAAGCTGGATTAATACAAAAAAAACAATACCAATTCTAAAGTTTATATAGAAACAGAATAGTGCCAACAATAGCTAAAAGAATCTTGAAGAAAAATAATAACACTAAAGAACTTATAATGAAATCAAATTCAATATCAGATATCAAGACCTATTCTAAATTCTTAAAGTGATAGGTATATTTTAAAGCTATAGCTATTATTGTTGCAAAGATAGATAAATAGACTAATGGGACATACCAGAAAGTACAAAAACACAGAGAGAGAGAGGGAGGGATGGGGGACTGTAGGTACAAAGATGTTGGGATTGATTGATCAATTTTGACTTTTAACTCTCATCATACACAAAAATAAATTCTAGATGGATTGTAGATATAAAAATAAATATAGATATAAATAAAGCTTTTAGAAGAAAATATAAGAGAATATCTTCATGATCTTGGAAGAGGTAAAAATTATTGAGACAGAAGATAGAATAGTGCTAGCCGCAAAGGTAAAAAAGAATGACTTAGAATGTATTAAAATGAAGAAATTCTCTATCAAAAGGTAACAGTACAAAGGCAAACCACAGGGTGGGAGGAAATATTTGCATTGCATATAAATGACAAATGACTCAAATACATAAATATTAAGATCCTGTATAAATCTTTAAGTAGTACTAAAAAACCTCAATAGAAAAAAAGCCAAAATGTTGAATAGGCACTTTATAAAACAAGGTTTCCCAATCATACACACATATTAAGTGATCAATCATAGTATTCATCAAGGAAATATATATTAAAATCCAGAGGGTACCAACCCACACCCAAAAGAACGACTAAAGTGAAAAAAAAAAAAAGATAGAAAATATCTAATGTCTGTAAGGGTGTGGAACACAACTATACTATCATGTACTGCTGATAGGAATGTAAATTTGTACAAAAGTTTTGGAAAATTGGTGTTATTTCCTAGTGCTGAATATACACATATCATATAACATAGCATCTCTAGTCCTGAGTATATTTTCAAGCATAAATCAGATTTTATGCCTGCCAAAAAGCATATAAATGCATATTTCTAGAGTAGCTAATTTTGGTAGACTCACACTGGAAACTACCTTATAGTCCATTAGAATGAATTAAAAATCTGTTGCATATTTACACAATGAAATGCTATATAACAATGAAAAGTATATAACATTCATCAATATGAATGAGATTACAGATTTAATGATGAGCAAAAGCCAGACACATAGTTTATATAGTTCATGATTCTATTTATATCATATACAAAAACAGGCAAAATTAATCTGTAGTATTAAAAGTCTAATATTTTGTCTATCATTGCTATTGACAGTATTTCCAAATTCTTGATATATTAAACTATGAGATTCAAGAATAACAGTTGAAACTCCCAGGAATTTTATGTTAAATGTTCTTTGTAAAACACCCCAACCTTCTTTATGTTCTTTCCTCATTATTATGGATATCCAACTTTTTATTTTTAATATGTCTTTATTGATTTCAGAGAGAGAAAGGGAGAGGGAGAGAGAGAAAGATAGAAGTATCAATGATGAAAGAGTCATTGATTGGCTGCCTCCTGCAAGCCCCCGACTGGGAATCGAGCCCACAGCCCTGGCATGTGCCCTGACCAGAAATTGAACCTCGATCTCCTGGATCATAGGTCAACACTCAACATCTGAGCTATGTTGGCCAAGTGGATATCCAACTTTTTAATTGAGTTTATTGGGGTGACACTACTTAACAAATCTATAGAGGTTTCAAGTGTACAACTCAACAAAGCATCATCTATATACTGCACCGTATACCCATTGTCCAAAGTAAAGTCTCTTTCTGTCCCCATTTATTGCCCTTTTGCTCTCTTCTGCCTCCCCCATCCTCTTTCCCTCTGGCTATCACCGTACTATTATCTGTGTCTATGTGTTATATATGTATTGTTGAATTCCCTCACTTATTTTAAATAAATGAGAGAGTAAATTTAGAAGAACAGCAAACACCAGTAGTGTATAGAAGATGTTCAAACACTGAAAAACATAAGCAAATCTTATTGGATAGTATTTGAATAATAATATTTGGATTTATTAACAAGGTAAATAGCACTACACCAAATCAAAAGTCAAACTTGGCAGTTTGAGGGTTTATTTTGCTTCTCAAACTTGTTATTTCTTGAAAGAGCACTCACAGGGTTTGTATATGGTACACTCTGAATATAGACTTATTAATATGCACTTTTTAAGAATGGCTCACCATTAGCAATATACAGGCCCACAAACACACACTTATAATAAGCAAAATCAACTGATCTGATCAATATGTGCTTCTGTACTGATACCTGGAAATTTAAAAATATTTGACTCAATGTGCTATCATTTCCTGCTTTTGCTTTTGACTTGATATTACTAGATTCCTTCAAATCAGTAATG